GGCCACATCCCTCACCCTGAGGTGTCTATGAGGGGCCTGCGCACGTGGGTGGGACAACGAAAGGGACACATTTACTATTATTAACTTTATTATTTTATTGGGGGTTTTTTTGCTACCAGAAATCTCTGCTAGGATTCTCTAGTGTAGCCTCCAGCTGCGTACGGGTCCCGCCGGCATTGCTTGTTACCTAACAGGTTGTTCAGATAAGGCACCAGGGTGAGGCAGAGGAGATTTGGAGTCAGTTCCTGGCTTTGCCCCTGGCCTGCTTGGTAACAGTGAGAAAGTCCCTTGTGCTCTCCGTACCTCAGTTTCCCCATCTCGGAGCTTCGAAGGTACCAGGGCTGCTGAGAAAAGGCAAGTGTGTGGCGTTTGTCCATGGACACGCGGTGAGGTAAATACACCCATATAACTTCCTGCAGACCAGAGTTGGGGAAATAGTGGCCCTAGAGCTGGATTTGATTCCTCAGGGTTAGCCACTGGCAGCCCCCCCTTCTAGCTCTAGCAAATGCTGAGGAGGTTCCACCAGCCCTGTCCTAAAGATCAGTGCTTCAGGTGACACTTCATAACACCCCCAAAGCCCTTGAGGAGTTGCTGGTGCCTCCCTTTGCCTTTAGCCTAATGGTCAGAGCACTTGGCTAGGAAATCATACCGCCAGGATCATCCCTCCTCAGCCTGATGTGGCATCAGGGATTTGAGATCTAGCAAATGCTGAGGAGGTTCCACCAGCCCTGTCCTAAAGATCAGTGCTTCAGGTGACACTTCATAACACCCCCAAAGCCCTTGAGGAGTTGCTGGTGCCTCCCTTTGCCTTTAGCCTAATGGTCAGAGCACTTGGCTAGGAAATCATACCGCCAGGATCATCCCTCCTCAGCCTGATGTGGCATCAGGGATTTGAGATCCCACGTTGCAGTGTCAAGGGGAGGGTGACATCAGGCTGCTGATGCAGGTGACTGTCACAGAAGCCTAATTCATATTTTGAAAAAGCGGCTTAGCGCTACAGTCAGGAAACTCTACTTACCATGAGGCCTAAGCCAGTTGGAGGCCTACGAGGTCTGGAGTGACAAAAGGCGAATGGAGAATTAGCAGGAGCGCTGGGTTCGCTCACTGGGGTATTTGAACAGCTGTAGCTGCGGTTTGTGTCTGCAGGTGACTGTCACAGAAGCCTAATTCATATTTTGAAAAAGCGGCTTAGCGCTACAGTCAGGAAACTCTACTTACCATGAGGCCTAAGCCAGTTGGAGGCCTACGAGGTCTGGAGTGACAAAAGGCGAATGGAGAATTAGCAGGAGCGCTGGGTTCGCTCACTGGGGTATTTGAACAGCTGTAGCTGCGGTTTGTGTCACTGTGCTCCGAGCACAGTAATACGTGGCGGTGTCATCGGCTCGCAGGCTGCCCAGCTGCAGCCAGGCCGTGCTTATGGAGTTGTCCCTGGTGAGGGTGACTCGACCCTGGAAGGCCGGGGCGTAGCTAGTGCTACCAGCGCTAGGACAGATGTATCCCAGCCACTCCAGGACTTCCCCGGGAGCCTGCCGGACCCAGCTAATGCGGAGGTTCGACATGTCAGTTTCACGGACTCTCCGGGCTTCTTGATTTCTGCACCAGACTGGGTCAGCTGGATCTGGGAACTGACACCTGTCAATAAAAACAACAAAATGCCGTTAACTCCATTCTTTTCCTCCTCTTCCCAGCCTTATCCCGTCCTTGTCTTGCCCTCCTCGTGACAAGGTCTGTTCTGCCTTTTTGTACAAACCATATTCCTATGCAGTAGGGAAGTACAATTACAACATTTCGCAGAGGGAAAACTGAGGCACGATGTGGTCTGGAAGCTTTCATCGCTGTGTACGGGATTCCGAATACAGAGTAATGAAACCAGGGCATCAAACTGCCCTACTTAGCTCTAAAATTCCGTTCTGTGTGATGTGCCCAGAGTTCCTGACCCACCTCCTACGTCTTCACCTTCAGACCATCTTTGCTCCCCCAGCCCAGCTGTGCCCAGCAGACACCGCCCCGTTACCTGAGACAGCCGCCAGAAGGAAACAGAACCCCAGACCTATCATTGTCATTCTCCTCCACCACGTTGTGTGCTGCAAAGCAGGAAACCAGCCGCCTGTTGGCGAGACCGGACAGTCTTCCTACCTCATTTGCATGTGGGCGGGGCTACATCGTTTGACAAAACCTCGGCTTTGCCCGCCTGGACAAATAAACGGCCTCAGAATTGGGAGGGACGCTGCCACGGAGGAGGCCAGAGCAGAGCTATGGAATCTGGGCCCCGATCTAGGACAACACTGAATCCACTTTGTCCTCACCGGGCCGTCCGTGTGAGCTAAGGGACAATTGGTGAGGCTGAATGTGAAGGTGCCCAGTGTCGGTCTATCACAATGTCACACCCAAGGGATACATAACACAGAGTCCAGGGATGTGTAAACACGGGCACTCTCCAGCGGGGAAATCTGCCTGTGAGCGGTGATCTCAGACCTTCCAAGGGGCGCTGGGCACCGAACTCGTGCGGAATGGGAAGGGATTAGGTTGGACAGAGCCTCGCGCTGAAGAGCCAGCCCAGCCTGCAGAGCTGAAGCCAATAATTCCTGGTGCTTATTCTTCTATTCAGTTTCCGAAGCGAACGTGACACTTTGCTGCCCCCGTGCGGATCTGTCCCTTCAGTAACCAGAGAAACGATTCCCCGCCTCGTCCTTTTAGCTTCATGTCACTTGGTCACTTGTGTCCCTGCAGGGGCTATGGGAGGGGCGAGGGTTTGCTCTGAAACAATTCACTGGGTGTCTGGCAGTGTCTGTGCGGGTCCTGTGACTTTAGAGAAGCACAAAGCAATCTCTCCCCTGAAGCTTGTTTATTGTCTGGTGAGGTACGCTCAGAATGTCAAAGCTTAAATTTCACTCTTAATCGCGAAGAGGTTCCAACCTTTCTCTCCGCTGCCCGCAGGCATTTGTACAGGGCTGGGAGTGGATTTCCTTTCACTGTGGGGCAGTAATAGCGGGCGGTGCCTTCAGGCTTAGAGAAGCACAAAGCAATCTCTCCCCTGAAGCTTGTTTATTGTCTGGTGAGGTACGCTCAGAATGTCAAAGCTTAAATTTCACTCTTAATCGCGAAGAGGTTCCAACCTTTCTCTCCGCTGCCCGCAGGCATTTGTACAGGGCTGGGAGTGGATTTCCTTTCACTGTGGGGCAGTAATAGCGGGCGGTGCCTTCAGGCTTCCGACAGGTCATGTGCAGATGCAGCAGGTTGTTGGGATTGTCCCTGGAGATGGTGAAGGTTGTTTATAATTCCCCCTGCCCCGCCCCCCCACTGCAGCCTGTTCCCGGGAGGCTGGCGCACCCATCGTATCGCGTAGCTGCTGAAAGTTAACCCGGAGGCTTTGCAGAAGGTTTGAGGGATCAAGCACCGTCTAGATCACATGTTATCAGGAACTCTGTGCTCAGACAGGACACTGCTGGAGGGGAAAGTCTTTGGAAAACACCCTTCTGTCACCAGCTGTGGGGGTACAGCGCTTAGTCTGCATTGTGGCCCCAAAAGCCGTGGATTCCAGTTGAGTTAAGTCACCGTTTCCCTGTCTCCATATTTCTTAGGATTCTGCTTCCGACACTTGGCAGAAGAAACAACCAGTCTTGTTTGCAAACATATGCACCGCCAGGCCAAGGCAGCTTCTTTGCTTCCTCAAAAGACTGACCTGTAGGCCAGCTGAGGGTGAAGGCTCCGCGCATATCGCTATGCAGGGGAAGGAGTTTGCAGTGGTAGCAGGAGGTGCCTAGGTCGAAATAATTTCACCAGTCCCCGCCTGTCCTCAGGACCAAGACAACAAGTGGGTTCCACAAAGAAGCAGGTAAATTAGTGGGGATTTGGTCCATTAGTGGCTGTTTGTCAGAAGGGGGGATTCTCGACAGGGGACGGATCACGTGAGGATTCCCTGTTCTCTTCCCTCCCTCTGGGGCCTGTGGCAGTGGCCTCTGTCCCTAGACAAAAGACTGGGCAGGATGGCCCATTGGTCTGACCCAATCTGAGGGCATATCCCCCCAATAGTGCCGCAGACACCCCCCCCCAGCCAGTAGAACAGAGGGAGTTTATTGCTTCTCCAGGATACAGCTCAGCACAGATGGAATCTGGTTACAGGAACTGGGGCTAGGAGGCCTCCGTGCCCCCCTTGAGATGGGGGGTGGCTTGGCCCTACAATCCCAGCCCCCTCTCTAGCTCCTTCTCCCCTGCTTCCTAGACAGAAACTAACTAACTCACTTCCAGCCCTGCCCCCAGTCAGGGGTGGCATTCTTTCAGCTGCTTCACCTCTCCAGACCCTGCTCCATTTGTATGCAGCCTCATGGGAATGAGCTGGCTCCCTCTCTGCAGAAGAAGGAGAATCATTGCCCTGTCCCTCCTGTTTAGCTGGCTGGCCCCGGATAAGGTCACATGAGATTATCCAAATACATCCCCATAGCCACTGTTCCATATCTAGGGCCAACAGTGGATGAGCATTAATCAAGGAGGCAACAACTCACAGGAAGAAGTCAGGGAGAGCGACAGGGCTAATCAGATTATCTTGATTTGTCTTTGCCAAGCTGTGGCCATAACCAGCCTGGTCCCTGCTTGTGGCCAATGGGAGCTGCCTGCTTGAAGCCCTGGCACCTCCAAGCCAGCTCTTATTCACCCAGGCATACAACCTGTGTTGCCCATGCAAGGAAGGAGCTGCCTGAGAGTTGTGCTCTGCAGGTCTCCCAGTCAGAGCCTGCCTCTGGCATCCCCCTTCCCTCATCCCACTGGCACTCCCTGTGATAGGAAAGGGCAAAGACCAGGCAGGTTTCATGACAAGGCTGGTTTCCCTGATGGGGAATTGAAGCCTGGCTGCAGCAGACCCTGCAAGCCCAGGGGGTCCTCTATACGGGGTAGGAGCCCCCAAACAGCCTTCCTCCCGTCTTTGGCCTTCCCACCCCTCTGGCAGGAGTCACAGGACCAGCAGTACCACTGCACAGCTACAAATATCCCTGGCCAATAGAAGTGTTGGAGCAGCCTCAGCCGGGTGCTCCGAATCTCCCAGTGGCCCGCAATGGGAACGGTGTGGGCCAAATACAGCAGCTTGCGGTGATACCTTTGGGGGACTACCAGCTGCCGCTGGACCCTCCATGCCCTCACCTTCCTGGGGAGAAGCCATTCCCGGAACAGGAGTCCACGCTCCTGCAGGAATCTCTCCTGGCCACCTCTCTCCAGGGGCTGAGCTGCACAGAGGCCAGCCTGGTCCCTCAGCCTCTGCAAAGAGAAGTCTGCCTGCACCTCAGCCTGGAATTCAGCCTCTGGGGCAGGGATCAGGACCTGTTCCCCACCCTTGCCTAGATCCGGAGTCCCAGCTTGGCTGGACCCCATGTCCACTGGACCCCATGTCTAGAAGCCTGCAATCTAGACATAGCCTGAGCTAAGGCCTGGGTAAGATCCGAGAGCCAGAACAGAGAAGGTCTCCACTTCCAGCAGTCACAGAGGGCGCGTCTGCACTGCAGGCTAAACTGGAATAAACCAGGCAACCTGAGCTAGGCCAATTGCGTCACTTAAGTTGAAATAGCTCGTTTTGGCTTTGGGCGCTGCATACACAGCAGTGCTTCCAAGACAGAGCCCTCTGCCCCCACTTCCCTTACTCCTCACACACTGAGGGCGACGGGACTCAGAGCAAGAAGCCTGTTATTTCAAATCTATTTCGGAATAACGCTGCTGGGCAGACACAGCCAGAAAGCCCATTTTTTTGTGGCAGCAGAGGGGCAGCAGCTCCTGATGCTGGAGATCCTGCAGCCCCACTGTACAAAAGTCGGGACTGACAAGATGCCACAAATGCCTGTAAAACCCAGGTGGCAGTTCACCCATAGCTGAGGATGGCTGGGAGATGACCGAGCGGAGCAGGCTGGGTGGGCATGAACCTTAATGCCAGTGCCCCAGTAATCCCCCAGGCTACCCTGGTCCCTGAGGGGCCCCCAAAGTACAGAGCCCTGGACAGCTGCCCTGAACTGTCCTATGGATGGAACGGCTCAGCAGAGCCCCACAGCTGAGAGGCCAGAGCACACAGCAGATTGGTGGAAGACCCCAGTTGAAATTCTGTCACCCCTCGGCCAGAAAGCAGGGGAATTGAACCTGAGACTTCCCCATCCCTGGCAAGGCTCTGCCCAGCCCCATACGTCAGGCACCTTCTTCATTGCTTGGAGTCCAAAAGAGACCTGAGCTGGGTAGCCGTCTCTGAGCAGGCCTCTTGCCTAGGTCCGGAGTCCCAGCCTGGCTGGACCCCGTGTCCACTGGGATGGGACCCTGAGGACCCTGCCGGGAGTCCTTCCCTGGATCCAGGTTGCCAGCCCCTCGTCGGCTCTGGCTACGGGGGGTGACTAGAGCCCACTGGGATTCATGGTGCCACTCCTCTAGGTCATTCCCCATTAGCAACTCCATGGGCAAGTGTGGGTGCACCCCCACTTCCTTGAGACTTTCCTTGGCCCCCCCCTTTCAGATGAACCCTGGCTACAGATACCTTAAACGGGGACCCGTCAATGCCCTTCTGGCTCAGCTGCGTGTAGGGTAGAACCTGGTCTGGGGCCACTATGTCGGATCAGGCCAGTGTCACCTCCGCCCCCCATGTCCCAGAAACCCATCACCTTCCTACAATCCACTTCCAGGGGTACGAGGCACTTGCACAGCAGGGGCCGTCCTGCCCCCACCCGGTACAGATACCTTAAACGGGGACCCGTCAATGCCCTTCTGGCTCAGCTGCGTGTAGGGTAGAACCTGGTCTGGGGCCACTATGTCGGATCAGGCCAGTGTCACCTCCGCCCCCCATGTCCCAGAAACCCATCACCTTCCTACAATCCACTTCCAGGGGTACGAGGCACTTGCACAGCAGGGGCCGTCCTGCCCCCACCCGGTACATGGAGAAGTCTGCCTCCCGAGGGTCAAACCTCCCAGGGGAGGTGCACTGAGCATCCTTCCCCCACTCTGAGCTGGGGTTTGCTGGCCAGCCCCTGCCTCTGGGGCAGCCTGCCCTTCCTCCCGCCGCAGCCAGTTACCCCTGG